TATTTAATCATCTGTGACGGCTATAAATACGATGACGATTAAAACAAAAACAAAAAAATTGTTATCGTGCGATTCGAGTGTATGACGGTGACTAATAAGTGTAGGCAACCCATTTATAGCTGCGGCAGCGACGGGAGTGTGAAAACGCCATTTCCGCGAGTATAAGGGGAGGTTGAAAAAACCTACATAAAAGCCTCCTAGTATATGCTTTTTTTTTTGTTTTGTTTTATTTCAGTCGTACGCGTTTTAGCTCTTTTCGTTTTTAAATGGGAAATTTATTACGTACAGCATATATTATACACCCCGCGTGGTTCCTGTTATCAAACCTCCACTCGGGACGAGGAGGTATAACCTGTGTTTTTATCTACTGTCCGACTGCCATTAATCCCGTCGTCGGTTTCGGGACTCGATTGCGTGTCCATCACCGCGGGAATACGTTACGAGTGTATACATTCCGTTTTTATGTTCAAAACAAAACCGTGCACACGGTCGGAATTGAAAAAAAAATAATAAACTAACTACCCTCTCGAAACTGATGACGAACGTTTGGGGGTTGTAGGGGATGAGAACCCGATGTTGTACGAACTTTACATTATTATTATGACTACAAACTGTAATGCATTTCATTATTTTCATCCCACGAAAGCAATCACACAATATGCGGTATTGTTTTAAAATGAGATTTTAAAAATGAAACGTTTGCGTATTTATATTTTATATTCATTTAGAACGTTTTCAGCGGATCGTAGTAATTAAGAGTGTTGTTACACCGAGAGAAAAATAATATATTATTGTCATAAATATTATTCGGTTTTACGAGTGGTCCCCGTAATTTGTACCTAGGTCAGTACATATTTACTTTAAACACACAACTATTTAAAACAATTACTTCGCTGAATTTTAAATTTTGACTTTGACATAACGACGCATCGATGGTATACTCAGAATATTCATAATACAAAAATGCAAACATTTACGATGAGTTATGATTGGAAATACCTATAATATTTAAAAACATTGTGTAGTTATAAGTTAAACATTAATTTGCTTGACTTGATATTTTCAATAATTCACAATATTGTAGTGTATCATACTCCATTTTATAATACAAGTATATTATGTCGTTTTCTAGCCGACTCTGAGTTATTTCCATTTTCATTAATTCATATCACTCGGATAGATGAGAGCTTCCAGTTATTATTTTCATATAAAAACGAAATAAAAGCAGAGATATTAATATTTATAACATAAAAGAAGACATTAAAATTTAATTTTTATTGAACCGATGCGAATTTCTCTATTTCTGCCAGCTGGCTTTTTTTATGTCTGCTCTAATAAAAACTCTGTACAACATATTTTTAACTTATTCGATAAAAAAATATATTGCTTATTTATATATTATATTCTTTTACTTGTGTCAAATATATTATAGGTAGGTACAAAATACCGAACGAAAAACGTGTGAGACACAGATAATTTATAATGGCAACGTATTGCTAATAGTATTCAGTGTAACCTACTTCTGAACTTAAATTGAATAAGACGTCAAAATGTATGCAATATTAGGCATATTCAATTAATTTATAATTTATATCGACAAACTAAAAACATGGGAATGGTAGTAAACATTATACGCCGCTAAACAAATAATCATATTTACTCATTCTCTATTGAAATTTAATATAAAATTATAATTTATGAATGATATGGGTGTATGAATCAAAACATTAATTTGTAATGGCGTTTTTTATTTGATATAAATAAATTGTATCTGATGTTTTTACGACATACTTCACTATGGCTCATTTTTGTGGTGATTTCGGTTAATTTTTGTATAAGAAAGTAAGAAATATCGATTGTATATGCCCCATAATATTGGCACCCACTAATCTTAAACTTTATGTTCGTCTTCGAATAATGAATAATTTGATTGGAAATCAAACGATTTGCAAATTTGACTACAATAATTATAATATTGTGATGGATTTTTGTATTATGTTCAGAGGTCCACTTACGTCTGTGTTTTTGGTGATTTTAAGCGAGTTTTATTTTAATAATATCGAACTAAGATGATATAGGAGTAAATTAAACATTCATAACATTCTATATCTTTTCAATAATCGTTTAAATCGAATTAAAATATTTTATCGATTACTGTTTAAGTACGTTAATTATTGTTTATGTGCAATGAGTACAATGAGGTGATTTGAATTAAACGAAATTTGTATAATAATCACATCATAATCAGGAATTCTGAATCTAAATATAGTCATGTTAATCAATACCTCGTTGTTACGATACATAATCTATACACAATATAAAGTTCATTTAACAAATTAGTGTTATTATTATCCAGACTGTAAAGTTCTTAAATATTGACTATAAATTAAAACTCATCCTTTTAATAACAAATAGTTGACTGATAAAAGACCTTTGAAAACTTTTAAAAATAATCAATAATTTTAATTAATTGATCGCGGGAATAAAAATTACATTAGTTCTTCGAATAAACCTACTATCTGTACTATAAAACAATTAATTAAGCTTCTACTATACATTTTTTGTAAAACTTATTTGTATTTTAGATTATAAGTAAATACATAGATAGGTATTAACGGGGAGTATCAATTTTCGACTTTTAATCAAAAGTGATGTTGTTATTACAAAAACCTTGTTTCGTCAGGAGTCCCTCCCGCAAGTGTCCGAAATCACCCTATTTTAAGGAACAATGTTGGTTTAGCGAATTTGATATTTTCTATTGTTATTGTTTTTTTTTTTTTTATTTAACACTTTTTTCGATGAATGCTCAAAAATGGGTCGTACGATCTACCGATTGGAAATTAAATCTAGGTAGTACTAAGAAAATGTTATTTTTCGATTTGATCGGTAGTTTCGCTAAGCGTAAGTACTACAGACAACCGTCGAAAACAGACATGGTTTTTGACAGAGCTGGGCTCAAAATCGTTTTCCGTATAAAATGATTTATCGTTATTTTTAAATTTAATACCACGACTATCCTGCGTTGAGAAGAACTGAACAGAACGCGTGCCCAACGCTATAGTGATCGAAATCCAGTCTGCTTTTTTATGTGCGCATTTTAATCGTTAATAACACGAGTTCTCGATACTTATACTATTTTCCATTGATCAAATTTGCTTTAACTGGTTTAAGATAGAAAATATATTGAAAGCTTATAATTATTGTTATTATTCAACTATACTATATCTACCCACAAAATATCAATCACATTAATTTAGAAACTGGTTAACCTAGACTTTAGTATCGAGTTAAAAACGTCAGAGCTCAAACTAATATTAAAGTGCCCGTTCGTTAATATTAATATTAAAAATATAAAATATATGAAAATCGTTGTATAGGACAATTAATTGCGTCGTGACGTGTGAGAACTTTATTTTAGAACTTTCGATGTGCTACTAGCAATGATCGTGAAAAGTTTAGGTAGTTAAAACTTGGTCTATTTTATGTCAAAGGTGTTATAGTAATGAGAAAAATCATATTATTTAGTTTTAATATGGCGACAGACGATAGTGTCCCGTAGGTAGTGTCCCTTTAAACTCTTTTCTTTAATATAATTACTAGAGTTTGATATTCTTTTATAGTCAAAGGTTGGACGAACAATAACTACTAAATAAATATTTTTATTTTATTAAGTTATTAAATATTAAAATCAAAATTGATGAGATTCGATAAGACATTTTTTTTCTTGCTTAACCCGCAACTGATGAAAAATTCTATCTACTACAATGANTTATTTTTTCCTGATGCAAGACAGAGGTACAATGGAGCGTAATCCGAGAGAAGCATCGAAATGCGTGCGCACTGTCGGACTGCTTGCGCGAGAGTGTATTAAATATTAAAATCAAAATTGATGAGATTCGATAAGACATTTTTTTTCTTGCTTAACCCGCAACTGATGAAAAATTCTATCTACTACAATGATAATAATATGATTTTCTTTGATTTCATATTATAAGTTTATTCTATAAGTTTAATTATTTTGATGTTCCGTTATAACTTATGACTTCTATTGTTATTTATGGTTTGAGTAAATATTTCTGGACCAATTTAGGAGGGAGTCTTAGCTAGTTGATTTAGAATAAGTAGTTTTTAGTCTTATGAGGATTTGTATTAGTTATATTATTATACCGCGTTTACGAAGTAATTTAATTTAAAGATCAGTTTACAATTTTAGTGTTCATAGATTGTCATTAATAACTTAATGAATGAAGCATTCTGAATACAGGTATACATTAAATACCTACCTAAATGATAATTATCAAAATATTATTTATACAATACATTTTCCTCGTTTTTGATATCAAAAAATGTATTTCATTATTATTTTAGTTCTACTCAGGCTAATATTCCAACATATAAAGCGAAAGTAATTAAAAATATTTTTTTTTTTTTAATAGATTGACAATTAACTGTATCAATAAGAATTGAATCAATAAAGTAAAATCCTACTTACGATCTAATTAAATATTATGTTCTGCCTCTAGTATTACAGAAATAATATTATTTTGTACATCAAGTAATGCGTGTTTAAAATTTTTGTACGCATAATAAGTATACGCTTTTAATAAATAATTTTTGTTTAAATATATTTTTAATTAGCCTTACCACGAACCATGTATATATATTATATAATATATACCTACATAAAATACAGTTCCGTAGATTTTAATCGACAGATTAAATTACATACCACTACGGTCTATGAATATAACTGATTTGTCCTGTATAATTTATATAATTCTCATAAAATTATGTGTTTATATGTACAGCTACAACTTTGCACTGAACGCATTTATTTATTTGTTGTTGTAAATTAAGAATTAAAAAAATTATGTGATTATGCGCAAAATCGTGTTGGCTGCAAAAAATACCCACCGTTTTTTGGCCTGACGAAAATTATGATATACTATGCTATGTTTAATGCTTATATAGATAACGCAACGACCGAAAATTTAGCTCACCTGTAATGACGATGGTGATTGTGCAGACGACGAACAGCATGTCGGAGCATTGGCGGCAGAATCCGTGCCTCAGAACCATGGTTGTGGTGGTAATGGTTGTGTTCACAAACCGTCGTACGATTGGATCGGGAGAATATTAACGAACAAGTTGAGATTCGTTAATGTCACAGTTTGGTTATTTTCCCGCGTATAATCTCTTTTCAAGTTCACAAGGCGAACTATGGAATGAGAGCCATATTATTTTTCACGGAATAACACAACGACGTGTAAGTCACGGAAATCTGAGGAAAAAAACAAATACAAATATTATTTACAAAATATATCGATACCTACTAAATAGTAAATAGTAACCCCGCCTTACACCATAGGTAATTAGAATTATATTGTCCTTAAATTCGGAAAGCACTGTGACTTTAAATATTACGATAATAATAAAATATTATATGAACTTGCATATGGTGTTATTTTTTTTTTTGCAAAATTAAAATAATATTATTGTTCATACAACACGAAATTAAATATTAAAATACAAAATATTATATTATAAACAAGCAAATTGTGTATTTCGAGTGGAAATCGTCTGTGGGTAGTGGTTGACAATTGAGCACTTCCAGAAAATTATACAGGTAGGTGCAAGTGCACTCGAATGCACCCCATACAATTCTGTCACTGCTTATTACTGCAGTTTTCTCATGCGTGCCGCTTTCATTCCATTACAGCATTCATCTAAATGACTACATTGATTTGTGATCCCCACGGGAATAAACACTTTTCATGGCACAAAAGAGTATAATATTAAAATAAACCCCTGTGGTTTTGACATAATATTTTGCATATGTATACAAGAGATCCTTTTCTGTCATATAAATATGCGTGTGGAATGTGACGACAAAGTTCTCCGAGTCACTTTACGCATAGTGTCTTTTGAAAGGTAGGGGTGACGCACCAAACTCATTAGCGCAGTACACTCGAAATTTTATAGTTGTACAGACCGTATTATTTAATTGAAAAACAACTCTAAACTAAGTAGTCAAAATAATATTATACACAACAATGAAAAATTAAATGCGTTTATATAATTATTTCAGGCAAAGAATTAACGCATTCATTGGATAACCTATGAATTAGTATCATATTTTTTTCGTATTTTTCTAGTCCAGTGATAAATTTATAACTTTAGAAGAATCTAAAGGAGCTATGCATGTATTGATTTTAAAATTATGTTTATTTTTGTGTCTGAAAACAAGAAATTTTTCTAGAAGAAAAAATACTCTGATCATAAATTTTGATAAAGGTTTTTTTTGTATAAAACTGGATTTAGTTGATACTTTTGGGAGATAAGAACAGACAATTTTCAGTAATTTTCAGTAATTTTTAAAATAATTGGGAAAAATAAAAATAAATACGAATATTTATTAAAAATGTAATATTATTATTCAAATAAATGTTTGGTAACCTTGGATATCAAAAAGTTCAACCGGCTTGGCTGAATATTGTTTCTTATCGGATACAATGACTAGCTGCCATGCACTTCGTTGCCCTTATAAAATGCCATCTGCCCACTCATATAATTCAAACTTTGTTCAATTCGTTATAGTTAAATATACTTTAGAAACAATTTTTTCGTTTATATGAATAGTGAATACTAGAATATACAATATACTATAATGTAATATAATATAATATAATGTATTTTTTATTTGTATGACAATGTAAGGTGGTCAATACTTATTACTTAAATTAAATCAGAATCTGTAACCATTAGCAACCAATTATATTTTAAGAAATATTCGATTTCCATTTAATAACACAAAATTCTAGTGTGAGCACATCTTTAAAATAAAAACGTATAAGTCCTTTCTTTGTACGCACTTAAACGAATGTACTTTCAACATTTTAAGTCTTCACCTACCTATTATAGTTTAGACTCTACATTGATTCTTCGTCAGTCACTATAATGCCTCTTTTATATGAATAGAGAGATCTATCATTGAATTTAAATTTATCACATCCATTACAACGGTGCATACTCAATGATGAGTTACACATGTTCGACACCTACTGCACAGGTAGGACGGGTTTTTTTTCTTCAAAACTGTATACATTTTAGCTAATAAGCAATTTACTTAAATGTTATTCAGTAATACAAATAATTTAATTTGTATTGATGATAAGATTGTTTATGATTTAGAATGTTTTTAAGATAATTTTACACCCTCAAAACAATTATGAAAATATGCAACTGCTGCTTTTATAGGAAAACAATATTACGGAACTAAGTAAAAAAATATTTAAAACATATCAATGCAAAACCAATATACTATAGTACTTCGTTTTTCTCAAAACCTAACATTTATTGTACCTATATTAGTTCCTGATCTAAAACAGTTTCCACGTGGTTCATTAATTTTAACAGTTATTCTAAAACCCGTCTTATCCCCAGATTACGTACATTTAAGTGCCGGATGCATAGGACAATTTATTTTATTTATTTATGTATTTATTTATTCTTCAAGAAGATGGCGGACCCCACTGAATACGTTTATGTGGGGGCTCATAAGTTCAAAATTTAAAATACAAATTCATTGAATAGTTAATACAATTAAATAATTACGATGCACTTTATAACACTGCTATAATTGTAGGTATAATAATATTATATTGTTTTATTAAGTCGTTATGTGTACGACCACTTTTATACTTGTATATCATATTTTATAATAATTTAATATCTGCGTAGGTATACAATAATAGTCCTAATACTTTGGTAAAAACTCAATAATTCAGAAAAGAGATAGTAACAATAATTGATAATACATTACATCCGTATTGTAGTTTAAACCTGTCGGATATGGCGCATTTATAATAACTATATATTTACTAAATCTTCGTATAATGTATGAGTATACATAATTTCACGTGTATCACTGTGACCGCGGAGTTGTGTGTGCTCTGAAAGAGACAGGGATTTGTATGCGTGCATATATATTATATATAGGTAGGTACATATTTATATAAATAAACACACACACATTAAACAATATTATATAGAACGGTAGGTTACGTCGGAGGATACAAACAATGCGAATCGTTCGACCGTGGAATATGGCGTGAGTAACGGTAGTTATATTGTTCCACAAACGGATTTCACCCTTCTTTTTGCTATTCTTCCCCCGTCGCCGCTCATCCCCCATCCCATGCGTGTTGACCCTTAGGCAGGTAAATCGTGAGTCATATAATAATTCATGGCTAAATGTTCCACACTATTTACCGGGTAATTACCACGTTTTATTGGACGCATTTTGCATAACGATTCCATGACAATTCAATGGTAATTATATGACCATTTACATTATGTCACGTATACAATGTGTACACAAGGCCATGTATCGGTCCCCTTCGCCCCCTCGGAGTATAATAACCGTTTTTACTTAAGCCGATTTAATAAATAGGTGTATAATTAATTTCGATTTATTTTTTTTACTACTTATATTTGTATAATATACATATTATAAACAGCCAGTCATGTACCTATACATATATCAACTGTTGATAATAAATAATATTATTCCCGTCACCTACTTATGTAGTTATGTTGAAAATAGTTTTGGGCTTATCAGATTTTTTTAATCGTTTTACAATTTTTTTTTTCCATTTTTTATTTCTGACCTAGAATAATACGGACATGCCAATCGATTATCTACGTTTATCCGCGATCATATAATAATTGCATATGTATTTTAACGCTTCCATAAATACTCTGTAAAAAAAATACCATTCACAATATTATGATATATCTATGAATCAAAGAGTGAAGAAATTCAATGTTCCAATATATTTAAAAAAAGTTGAACTGCCCACTAATTATGTATTAAATAGCGGCCAAAAATAATAACGCAAATAACGTCATGAAATAATAACAATACAATTTAAAATAAAGTAGTAGATGAAAAAAAATAGTAAAGAAACATTTATTTACATGGGAAACCAGACTCAGCAATAAATTTAATTAAAGAGGAGATGACTGCCGGAGAGTATACTTTTTCATTATAATTAAAAATATTTACAATTTGTATACAAACATTGTGCATAATAAGTAAATTTGAGAATAAACGAAAGAATAAAAATAATAAATTGAACACTTGATAGAGAAAACCGTTAAAACTTCACTTAAAATTGATTTTTAATTAATTTAATATATTTTTTAATAGCGCAAAATGCTTGTAATCAATGAAATTTAAATTATTGTATCATAAAGCAAAAAATGGGGGATGAGGTGACCGAGTGGTCTGACGCGTCCGCTGCGACGCAGCCGGTCGCGGTTCGATCCTCCGCTACCGGGCGGCATTTTTCTCCGGACAAGTCGCGGTGACCGGAGAACAAGTGCTGCCATCCCCCACCCCCGGGGCATGGCAGAAACCTACGGGTGCCCCATTCGAAATTCTGCCAAAAACAAACACACACGTGTTCCCCCCTACCGTCCCAAAATATACAATACAAACAAACCTACAATACAAATCCTACTACAGCTAATGGCCTCAGTTGCCGAAGCTTAAGATCAATAAAAAAAAAAAAAAGTAAATAATGAGGTTCCTTTTGTTTTGAGTAATACATTTAAGTTTGATATAATATTGATATAGGATACTGGATATTTTTTCATGTGGTTAACATTTGTTTAAATAAATGTTGGAGTGTTAGAAATCAGTTAAGTCAGTTAATATTTAGGGTGTTTAGTTCGTTTTATTGGTCGAATCTTGAGTGTTTTAACTTTTATGTTTAATTTGGAAGCTCAGCTAAAATATAAATAAGTTTGCCGATTGGAAATATTGTTGTTTATATTTGAAGTGCTGCCAGAAATTTAGTCGTACATAATACTGGTATCGGGATTTCATTTTTCTCGTTTAATAATGTTTTTACGATGATCATTGGTTACAAAATTATAATCGTTTTAGAACCACAAGTGCAAGGTAAGTTAAGGGGTGGTTGACATTGTAAAGAGCACGATATATATGGCAGAAATATTGCGGATTTCGGTGCAGGTCACAGATTCATAGTTGTCTCTGCTTCAAAAACATCTATAAATATTGTTTAAATAATATTTAGTTTTACCGGAACTTTGTGAATTTAATTAATGTAGTACTTGTTGGTCAGATCTAGGTGATTAGACATTTAATTCGGTAAAACGTAGGGATCTTAATTCAAAAATATCTCCGTAGTTTAATATATTAAGATTGAAGGTGAACAAAAAAATAAAGGTACCTAGAGGTATTTTTGAGAGATT